CAGGAATGAGATCTCTCTCCAACTGAATTCTGTCACAGATGCAGACTTCTCTGTGTATTTCTGTGCCCAAGACTACACAGTGAGACAGGATCTATTTGGACTCTGTAAAAAAAAAAAAAAAAAAGAGGAAATTGTATTCACAAAGCTTAATGCTATGCAAATGGAGAGGGAGGGAGGATGGCAGACTTAGAGAAATGGTTGACAGAACAATGTAAAACTAAAGTCATTTTGAAAAATGGAATTAGTTTTATTAGTTCAATATTGACAGAGCTTTATAGAGATAAATCTGAAGTTTCATGTAGATAGACACATACTAACTTTATTTTCAATGAGAAGATGCTGAAAGGTACTTTTCAGTTATTAAAGAGCCACTGATCTCTTTTAACATTATCACATTTATTGTTTTGCAGGCAAGATAAATGGGAAGGGACTTAGTCAGGAATATTCCTACATGTTCTGTCCTTCGTCTGTCTTGTAAAATAACCGGGAGACACTGAGTGACCATCATTGACTGAGTGACCATCATTGTGAACTGGAGAAAGCCTTTAGGATCTTGGTTCTAGAGGGTTTATTAGAGAAATTAAACATTAAATGAATACAAAAAATAAAGTCCCACACTTTATCAGTGGAAAAGTATTTACTTTCACTAGTATTTTCATAGAAGAAAATGTTAATAACACTCTCAATTTAAGAGCCCTTTACATCTATACACTAAAATGGCCCATCATATCTCCTGGACATTGTAACTTTCTTTGGCTCCAAGCAGGGGCTTTCACAGGTGGAGTGGTGGTTTCACTGACTTTTTCAAAGTTACACCTCTCAAACAAGCCTATGTCATTCCACCACAAAGCAGTAAGTAAGCTCAAAAACCAAACCTATTTCCCTCTCTCCTCCTTTAAAAAAAAACCCTCTAGGAAATTGATTGGCAGGGCTGTCTTCACTTCCATACTTTTACCGAAATAATTGAATGGGTGTATCTAGGGATTTACCAGGAACTCCACCAAGAAGTTTACCTTCTGATGCAATAGATATATATAGGTTTATTTTTCTAGAAACCAGAAGGAACTGATTGGAAGCTTCAGGATGAAAAAAAGCAAACAAAAACATAATAATAATAATAATAACAACAACAACAACAACAACAACAACAATAATAATAGTAAAGTTGGAAGGGACCTTGGAGGTCATCAGATCCAACCTCTTTGTTGGGGCAGCCCCTGAGATATTGGAAGACTGCTATCATGTCCCCCCTGGTCCTTTTCTTCATTAGACTAGACATCCCCAATTCCAGCAGCCGTTCCTTATATCTTTTAGCCTCCAGTGCCCTGATCATCTTTGTTGCTCATGGTGGAGAAGGAAGAATTGCCCTTTGCGAAGCCTGAATTGCAAGGAACACCCAGGTCATTTTTTTCCCTCTAACACTTCACCATTTTTTTCAGTCTATGATTTTGAATCTGCCATGCTTTCCTCCAAATTTAGATTAAATTTGAACTCTGACATTTTTTGGCTTAGAAGGATTATATTCCTTTATTCCTTTATTTATTCTGCAAAAGTACCATTCCTTCTTACGATTTCTTTACATATCCAGTGCTGCTGTTGTTATCTCTTCTCATCCTCATATGATATCCATTTCTCTTTTACAGGGAATGAGAAAACAGAGCATCAAATACAAGTTACCCAAGACTTCAGATATCTGTTCAAAATATGTAGGTAGTCTTTGACTTACAACAGTTCATTTAGTGACCTTTCGAAGTTACAACAGCACTGAAAAAGTGACTTACGGCCATTTGTCACACTTAAAACCATTACGGCAGCCCCATGGGCATGTGATCAAAATTCAGATGCTTGGCAACTGACTCATATTTATGACATTTTCAATATCCCAGGGTCACATGATCCCCTTTTGTGAACTTTTGTCAAGCAAGGTCAGTGGGCCAGCCAGATTCACTTAACAACCATGTTACTAATTTATCAACTGCAGTGATTCCCTTAACAACAGTGGCAAGAAAGGTTGTAAAATGGGGCAAAACTCATTTAACAAATGTCTCACTTAGCAACATAAATTTTCGGCTTAATTGTGGTTGTAAGTCAATAATGTACTCTCTTTGTAGAATAAATTAGCTTTTAGTTGTCAATGCCTCTGGATATTAATGTCATAATTATGTAGGGCTCATATGGATTTATGAGAAGCAGACATTTTTTTCATATCTCATTTAATTTTGGGAGATAAGGAATAAAAGAATCATTAATTAGGTAATAGGTAATAGTAGTAAAGTTGGAAGGGACCTTGGAGGTCATCTAGTCCAACCCCCTGCTCAGACAGGAAACCCTACACCATTTCGGACAAATGGCTGTCCAGTCTCTTCTTAAAAACTTCCAGTGTTGGAATATTCACCGCTTCTGGAGGCAGGTTGTTCCACTGGTTAATTGTTCTCACTGTCAGGAAGTTTCTACTTAGTTCTAGGTTGCTTCTCTCCTTGATTAATTTCCACCCATTGCTTCTTCTCCTGCCTTCAGGTGCTTTGGAAAATAGCTTAATTCCCTCTTCTTTATGGCATATCATATCAGAGATCATTAAGCCTAAACCACAAAATGAGGAGGGCATAAAATTTTGTCTTTAAGTCCTGAGTTTTTTTTACTGATGCTACACATGACCATATCCAAAAATTGTTGCAAAACTTCATTTTAACCAGAAATGCTTTCTTATTCATAAAATTGGCATATAAATACCTAAGGAATGGGCATTCATAAGAAATGGATGAATCCTTTTATTCCATCATTATCCTTGTATATATGTATATATGTATGTATGTATGTATGTATGTATGCATGCATGTATGCATGCATGCATATATGTATGTATATATTGCCTACTAGATTTGAATTCACTTTTGGACTTCATCTCATATTTATACAGGTCCTGGCAAAATTTATGCAAAGTCAACAAGACTTTCACTTTCTATTTAAACTGAGTCACCTTCTTCAGTCTCATTTGAAAACACATCCCTCCAAACTTCTACACAATGACACCCCATTTCTTAACTCTCATCATGCTGGCTGCCTTCTCCAAAGGTCTGTAATTTGGTCCATACTAAGCTTTTTCTAGCAGTCAAGAAAATTTCATGTCTTAATTATTGCTCTTACTTTCTAACTGTTATCCAATTGTGTGTTGTCTTTTCTCATTAGGAGGCTTCTCCCAGGTAGTCCTGACCCAGTCAGATCCAGTGCTGAAGAAACCCGCAGAAGCCCATAAACTGACTTGTGCGGCCACTGGATTCAATGTTAACAGCTACAGTATGTATTGGATCAGACAGAAACCTGGCCAAGGACTGGAATGGATTGTTAACTATTATTCATCTAGTGACAATGCTTATTCGCCAACAATCCAAGGACGATTTACTGCCTCCAAAGACAGTTCCAACCTCTATCTGCAAATGAACAACCTAAAAGCTGAGGACACGGCTGTCTATTACTGTGCAAGACACACAGTGAAATAGATCTTAAGGGATCTCATGCAAAAACCTTTCCTTTAATTACTGAAATGTCTCCAGAGGTGGCACCAGAGAACCACAGAATGAGTTGTCTACCATCTGGAACAGAATCATCCAAGCCAAGAAGAGATGGAAATGAAAAGGCAAAACAAAAATAGCCCAAAAGATAATATTACTCCATAGTTAATGTGGTTGAACATCTTTCACTTATTGATTTCTAACAAATTTGCTCTGGTGTCCTCCTCCTACTCTTCTTCTTTTCTTCTTTCTTCTTTCTTTTTCTATCTTTGCCAGAAGACATCTCCAAGTCTGCTGTTTCCCTCTTCAAGTATTCGTTTCAGAAGGATTCCTGGGATTTCTTCCATTAGAAGCCATTTTTGTCTTTAAATGTTTTGACTGGTATGGGATTTCCTCTCCTGCTGTTTTCCCAAGTGAAGTTATATTTTGAAAAGATATAGTGGACATAACCAATATAAAGAAAAGACAGGCAGCTTTGAACTATAGCTCTCTTTTCTCAATGTAAAAACCAACCAACCAAACAAACAAACAAACCAAAAAAACTGAAATAGCAAAATCTTCCCAGCCTGATCCTGCTATACTTCTCATCCTCCTTACTCCCCAGGGAAACAGGGGGGGTACTTGTCTGAATTGTTTTCTGAATATTTGATGATCAATCCTGATCCTCAAAATACCTTTCAGCTCCATTTTCCATTTTGACAGGTTTTGTTTAATTCTATCAAAGTGACATTTGCATTGATACTTTCATTGCTTCTTCTTTGCAAATTTTCCTCATTTTTAGATTAAGTGACTGCATCCGTATACAGTTGTTCTCAGACCTCCAAGTTAGACAGATTAGGAAACCAAAGCCATGTAGAACAATACTGGTTTTGTTAGAAGGATATAGCAATAGTGTCTTTCAAATCCCAATGCTTTTGCCCCACCCTCCTTTTAGCTTTGTGAGATGGAGGGGGGTGGGTTTGCCTGAGATGTTTTCTCAGGTGACACTTCTGGAACCAGACTCAGGTTTCTTTTCTCTGATTCTTATCCTGTTAGTAGCTCCTCTTCCTACCATTCAAGACCATTTCCTTCACCCTCTGCAGTTGGATTACTGTATAGTACTCTGCCTGGGACAGCCCTTGAATTTCTAATCTGAATTGCTCCAGAATGGAGAGGGATGGGAAGTTTGGGCAATATAAAACATCTGATCTCCGACTACCACTTCTAAGTGACCAAATGTTGTTTGAATTCTTTCCAGTCAAGCAGATACTTCTACTTACGACAGCATTGACTTACTACCAAAATTATGGTCCAAATTATGGTCAAAAGGTGAGGACTGCCTGCATTCAGATACACTCCACTTTTTTGTGAAAAAAAAATAGTCTACTAGATTTCTAAACAGTCCTGGACTTCATCTCAAATTTATACAGGTCTCAGCAAATTTTATGCAAAACCAAGATGACTTTCACTTCCTATTTAAACACTCATTATCCTTCTTCAGGCTACCTCGAGGTGTAAAAGTCATCCCTCTAAATTTCTCCACAATGACACCCTACTTCTTGAGTCTCATTATGCTGGCTGCCTTCTCCAAAGGTCTGTAATTTGGTCCATATTAAGCTTTTTCCAGCACTAAAGGAAATTTCATATCTTAATTATGGCTCTTCCTTTCTAACTGTTACCCAATTGTGTGTTGTCTTTTCTCATTAGGAGGCCTCTCCCAGGTAGTCCTGACCCAGTCAGATCCAGTGCTGAAGAAACCCGGAGAAGCCCATAAACTGACTTGCGCTGTCACTGGATTCGATGTTAACAGCTACACTATGTATTGGATAAGACAGAAACCTGGCCAAGGGCTGGAATGGATTGTTTACTATTATTCATCTAGTAGCAATGCTTATTCGCCAACAATCCAAGGACGATTTACTGCCTCCAAGGACAGTCCCAACTTCTATCTGCAAATGAACAACCTAAAAGCTGAGGACACGGCTGTCTATTACTGTGCAAGAGACACAGTGAAAGATCACTTAAGGATGTCAAGCAAAAACCTTTCCTTTAAATAACAAGTGAAATGTCTCGTGAGGGATCAGCAGAGAACCACAACATGAGTTGTGAATCATCTGGGACAAAATCACCCAGGCAGAAAAGAGATGAAACAAAAAAGCGAAACAAATATACTCCCAAAGATATTATTACTCCATATTTAGTGTGGTTGAATATCTTTCACTTATTTGTTTCTAAATATTTTGCTGTGGTTTCAGGTTCTTCTTCTGCCAGGGCCAGATGACACCTGAAAATGTCTTCCCTTCCCTCTTCAGGGATTCAGTTCAGAAAGATTCCTGGGATTTCTTCCATGAAAGGCCAAATTCTCCATTAATTGTATGGAATTTCATGTCCTGCTGTTTTTCCCAAATCAAGTTCTATTTTGAGAAGATCTGCTAGACCCAACAAAGTATAAACCAAAGGCAGGCAGTGTGAATTCTAGCTCTTTTTTAGGATTGCAAAGGAAGGAGTCAGCTAAAATAGCAGAATCTTGCAAATCGGATTCTGCTGTACTTCCCATCATTCTTATACCTCAATCAATCAGCAGGGAAGTTGTCTGAATTGTCTCCTAATATTATTCTGGTCCTCAAAATATGTTTTGGCTCCCTTTTTGTGTAATTCTGTCAAAGTCACATTTGCATTTACATTTGCCTTGTTTCTTCTTTGCAAACTGTTTTCATTTCAGGATCAAGTGACTCCATCAGCTTCCAGTTGTTGTCAGACCTTCAAGCTAGAACAGACTAGGAAACCAAAGCCATGTAGAGCAATGTGGATGTTAGTAGAGAGACATGGTAGTAGTGCCTTTCAAGCCTCAATGTGCTTGCCCCATCTTTCTTTCATTTTGTGAGAATGAGGGAGGCTTTTGTCTGAGATGTTTTCTCAGGTGACACTTCTGACCCAGACTCAGGTTTCTTTTCTCCTACTGTTATTCTGGTAGTGGCTCTTTCTCTTTTCCCGCAAGACCATTCTCATAGCCATCTGCAGTTGGATTACTGTAAAGTACTCTGCCTGGGACTGCTTTGGCAGATGATTTCTAATCTGCATCAGTCGAGAATGTGGGTGGATAGACAGTTTGGGTATTATAAAACTTCTAATCTATGAGTTGTCTGAACTCTCACTTCACAGTGCTGGTTATCAGCTATACATCTCTTCATGCCATAGGGCCAGTTTACCTGCATGGCTTCTTTCTCTCTGATTATCTCCTAATGCTCGGTAGATCTGGCTGCAAAGGCATTCTACAGGATGGGACATGTGCAGGATAGGACCAATCTGCAGAAGAAAGGATCAGATCATTGATGTGTGGCATCTTTGCTTATATTCACATGGAAAGGATAATGTTGGGTATACAATAGATCTAATAGGTCTAGGATGCATCACAAATTTGGAGATAATGAGTACTCCCAATTACAATTTCACTTATTTGAGATTATTTTTATTTTATGATTGCTCCTGAAAGTAAGCCTCCCAAAACATTAGGTGTTGGTATTTTTGCTCCAGAATATTCTTACTTTTTCTCTTCCCCCACATTAGGCCAAAAGGTAAACTGATTCATGCTGATATGACTGAACTGTCTACAAATAAAATTTCATCAGGAACCTCACACAGACCCAAGATTTCAATTTCTGTCCATATCAGTTTATCAAAAGGAAGAGACAGTTGCTCATGAGCCAACCTTGTAACAAAATCAGGTTTTAAGACTGAATTTATTTTTCTACAGTCAATATAGGAGGAGCTTATGCAAAACTTTATGAGACACAGTGCTGAAGCTTCGCTTCAAAATAAATCCATTCAGTATGAGATTCTCATTTATTTTGAAATTCAAAGACCTTCCTAAATGACCACCATGGCATTATGGTTCTTTGCATTTTGTTTTACAGCACTTCCAAGATGTAAGAATATTTAACAGAAAATTAGAAGATCTTTATTTGGTCGGTGATGTTGTTCACTATTTGCAATCCTTTCTCTTTTTTTCAAGGGGTCTTCTCGGAGATTCAGCTTGTAGAATCTGGTCCAGGATTGGTGAGACCTGGAAGTCAACTCAACCTAGTTTGTAAAGTCACAGGTTTCTCCATTGCTACTTCTTCATCTTATGCTTGGGATTGGGTCAGGCAACCACCTGGGAAAGGTCTCGAATGGCTTGCATCCATAAATGTCAATAATGGAGGCAAGTGGTATGGAAACTCTGTAAAAGGTCGTGCCACCATTTCTGCAGATCAGTCCAGGAACGAGTTCTCCCTCCAACTGAATTCAGTCTTAGCTGCAGACTCATCTGTATATTTCTGTGCCCGAGAATACACATTGAAACAACCTCTATTTGGACTCTGTACAAAAAAAGAGGAAATCATTTTCATGAAGTGTAATGCCAAGCAGATGGAGAGGGGGAGAGAGAAGGAGGAGGAGGAGGAGAGAAAGAGATAGAGGCAGAGATGGATAGATAGATAGATAGATAGATAGATAGATAGATAGATAGATAGATAGATAGATAGATAGATAGATAGATAGATAGACAGATAGAAATATGATATAGATGTTCTGGAAGAAGATGACTAGATGATTCAATTATTAAAGAGTTACTGATCTCCATTACCATCACCACTTTCATTGTTTTGCATGCAAGGCAAATAGGAAGCTGTTTAGCCTGCAAAACTCCACCTGTCCTGTCCTTCCTCTTTGTTCTGAAAAAGATGGGAGGACACTGAATGGCCATCATTGGGAACAGGACAAAGCATTTAGGATCTTCATTACAGAGGTTTTACAAAGTGTTTGTATCTAAGTTGGTCTGTGATATTTTCTTGTCCAACTTGTTTAAATTTGTCCCAAGCAAGGGATTTGATGTGGAGGAAGGGGTGTCATTAGCTTATTCAAAGATACTCACTTTATATAAGCTTAAGATAATTTACCATACAACAGCAAATAAGCTTCAAAATCTCCTGATTTCCCCATTTCCCTCAAAAAGGATCTAGGAATTCTATCGATGGGGCTGCTATCACTTCCCAACTTTTGCCAAAATAATTGAATGAATGTATCTATGGAGTCACCAGGAATTGACTTCACCTTCTTATATAACAGATGTAAACACGTGTAACATCACGGAAACCAGAAGGAGCTGATCTGAAAAACTTCGCGGTCTTTGTTCAAGAATAAAAGCAACTTTGCCACTATTTTAAATGATTGTAGTTAGTTTCAGAAATACATAGATAAGCCCTGATCATTTTGTGTGACAAATCCTATTAAACCGGTTCTCAGTCAAGTATTTCTTCTAGACCCTGGGTGTCAAACACACGACATCATGTGATATGTCGTGACATATCACAACTTTTTCCCCATTGCCGGCAATGGAGTGGTCAAGGTTTTAACTTGACACATCCAGCCCATGGGCCCGTAGATGACAATCCTGTTCTAGACAGTCATGACTTACTACCAAGCTTGTGATGAAATTGCAGTCATACGTTTACTTGTATCTAGATACACTCCATCAATTTTGTGAAAGGTATTCTCTACTAAATTCAAATACATTTCTGGACTTCATTTCATATTTATATTAGTCCCAGCAAGATTTATGCAAAGCAAACATTACTTTCACTTCCTATTTAAATTCACAGTCACCTTCTTCAGGCTCATCTCAAAACTCATCTCTCTAAACCTCTTCACAATGGCAACCCACTTCTTAATTCTCGTCATGCTGGTTGCCTTCTCCAAAGGTTTGTAGTTTGGTCCATGTTAAGCTTTTTCTAGCATTTAAGGAAATTTCATATCTTAACTATGGATCTTACTTTCTAACCCTTATCCAATTATGCTTGGTGCTTTTTCATTAGGTGGTCTCTCCCAGGTAGCTCTGACCCAGTCAGATCCAGTGCTGAAGAAACCAGGAGAATCCCATAAATTGACTTGCGCTGTCACTGGATTTGACGTTAACAGTGATTACATGGACTGGATCAGACAGAAACCTGGCCAAGGACTGGAATGGCTTGTAGACTATTACGATTCTAGTGAGAATACTTATTCACCAACAATCCAAGGACGATTTACTGCCTCCAAGGACAGTTCCAACTTCTATCTGCAAATGAACAACCTAAAAGCTGAGGACACAGCTGTCTATTACTGTGCAAGAGACACAGTGAAAGATCTCTTAAGTGATCTCAAGCAAAAACCTTTCCTTTATATAAGTATTGAAATGTCTCAAGAGGGGTCAGCAGAGAACCACAAAATGAGCATCTGGAACAAAATCACTCAGGCAGAGAAGAGATGTAAATGAAAAGACAAAACAAGAATACCCCCAAATATATTATTGTTCTACACTTAATGTGGTTGAACATCTTTCACTCAATGGTTGCAGTGGTTTCCTGCAGGTTCTTCTTCCGATGCCAGATGACATCTCAAAATGGGTTCCTTTCCCTCTTTTGGAAGTATTCCTGGGATTTTTTCCATGACAAGCCATATTCTTCATTAAATGTTTTGAATTGTATGGAATTTCCTTTCCTGCTTCCCCTCCCCCCAAATCAAATTGTATTTTGAGAAGATCTGCTAGATTGTGCAAAGTATAAACTAGCAGGGGTGTCAAACTGCTGGCCCGCGGGCTGGACTCGTCATTCGGAAGCTGCACCCAACCTATTGCCAGCAATGGCAAAACCGTCCCAATATGTTGCGCAACGTCACGTGATGTCGCGGGTTTGACATGTCTGAACTAAAGGAAGGCACCGTGAATTCTATCTCTCTTTTGGAATGTTATAAAAAAAGTCAGCTAAAATTACAAAATGTTGCAAGTCTGACTCAGCTATACTTCCCATACTTCTTTTTTTTTATTACTAAAAAAATAGTAATAAAAGCTGATTACAGGGTTAAAAATAAACAATCATAATCTCAATAAAATTACCCAACTATATTAGCAATCAAGTCCATAACATACTTTAACTCCTTTTCAAGATAAATATTAACAAATTCAAAAACAAAAATAATAATATAATTAAATCATAATGCTAGAAATAATATAAATTCAACCATATTAAACTATTAATAATAATCTAAAATTTACTCATAAGCTAAATAGTACTTCCAATACTTCTTATTACTCCAGTGAATCAACAGGGTAGTTGTCTGAATTGCTTCCGAATATTATCTGGTGATTCTGGACATCCAAAACTGCTTCAGATCCCTTTTTCCTTTGTAACAATGATGGTGTAATTTTGTCAAAGCATTGATGGTTGCATGGCTTGGTCTTGGCGGCAAACCAAACTTATGTCTGAATCAGGTGACTCATACCTTATTTAACATCCACTTGTTATACTCCAACCTAGAACAGATGAGAAAACAGAACCCATACATAGAGCAACAGTATTTTCATTAGAAAGATACAGTAATAGAGTCTTCATCTCTGAATGCACTTTCCTCTTCCTCCTTTTACATTGTGAGAATGAGGAAGGGTCTTGTAAGAAGTTTTCTCAGGTGACCCTTCCTGCACACACTCAAGTCCTTTCCTCTGATTGTTGTTCTGGCAGAGGCTGCTCTTGAAAGTGATTTTTAATCTGCATTGTTTGAGAATTTAGAGGGATGTGCAGTTTGAACATTATAAAATTTCTAATGTGCCAGTTGCACTAGCTTCCACTTTCAAAGCAGTAGTTATTACCCATAATGCTGTACAATAAGATTACTTTCCTTACTTCATTCTCTTTGATTGTCGCTTAATGCCCACCTGAACTGACAGTGCAGGCCTGCTCCAGGACGGGACCTAGATTCTAGTATTTGTGTCACAACTTCAACCTAATGGAACAACACTCCCTAGGATATCTGAATGGCCCTAATTTCATTGATATTGTAAGAAATAAACATGAAAGCCAGAATTTTCCCATGGAATTTTGGTTCTAAGAATTAAATGAGTCTGTTCTTAATTACTTAATATCCACATCAAGTTTTAGACTAGGAGGGAAATGATTTTGGATCTCATGATTAGTATTGTTGTATCTTGAAAAAGGCTGAGAAGCTAAACATTCTTTATTTTGGGGTTAGAGAATTATCAGGATTCCTAGGGCCCAGTTGTGAATTTAAATTAAATTTTCACTTTATCTGCAAGCATTAGACAAGGTTTGTCTGCACAGACTGAGTTACATTTTATTTCTTCAATTAAATTAAAAACTTCATTGATTTTTAAAGAAAATAACAAAACATATGAATGTAATATTAGGCAGAGCTTTTTTTTTTGTCACTGAACGCACGGAATGGCGTTCCGGCACCTTTTTTCAACGGAATTTGTGGAACTAAAAAAAGTTCAGTCAGACCTTCCAACTTCTTGTGAGAAAAAATAAGATCTCACAAGGAGTTGGAAGGTCTGACTCAACTTTTATTAGTACCACAAACTCTGTTTCACTAAAGCAGAAGTTTAATGAACAAATCCCTAATTCTCTTTCCTAATTTAGGAGCATGAAAAATGCTGTACACATCACTTTAACATTATTGATTAGGATCACCTTTGTATTTTTTCACCCCAAATTCTTTATATTTTAAACAGAAAAACTCAAGGAATTGGATGAACTAAGAAACAATCCGACCTGTCCATTCTCCTCTATTTCTTTAGAAAAAGACTGTAGTGTTGTTTAATGCATATCCTTCCCTTTTGTTGAAAACCAATCTACAATATACAATCCCTTAGTGGGTTGTATATTTACTTATTTTCTTTTTATAAGGAAATAAATATGTTGGGTAAGCAGTAGATGTGGTCTGTTTACAGATGCATCACAAATATGGGAGATGTTGAGTTTTCCTAGTCATTGTTGTTGTTGTTAATTGCGAAGTCGTGTCCGACCCATCGCGACCCCATGGACAGCGTTCCTCCAGGTCTTCCTGTCCTCTACCATCTTCTGGAGTCCATTTAAGTTCACACCTACTTCTTCAGTGACTCCATCCAGCCATCTCATTCTCTGTCGTCCCCTTCTTCTATGGCCCTCAATCTTTCCCAGCATTAGGCCCTTTTCCAGTGAGTCCTTCCTTCTCATTAGATGGCCAAAGTATTTGAGTTTCAACTTCAGGATCTGGCCTTCTAAAGAGCAGTCAGGGTTGATCTCTTCTAGGACTGACCAGTTTGAATGCCTTGCAGGAGTCTTCTCCAGCACCATAGTTCAAACGCCTCAATTCTTTTGCGCTCAGCCTTTCTTATGGTCCAACTTTCACAGCCATACATTGCAACTGGGAAAACCATGGCCTGGACTATACGCACTTTTGTTGGCAGGGTGATATCTCTGCTTTTTAGTATGCTGTCTAGATTTGCCATAGCTTTCCTTCCCAGGAGCAAGCGTCTTTTAATTTCTTGGCTGCAGTCCCCATCTGAGGTGATCTTGGAGCCTAGAAAAATAAAATCTGTCCCTACCTCCATTTCTTCCCCATCTATTTGCCAGGAATTGAGTGGGCCGGATGCCATGATTTTGGTTTTCTTAATGTTGAGTTTCAAGCCAACTTTTGCACTCTTCCTTCTTCACCCGCATCAAGAGGCTCTTTAGTTCTCTTCACTTTCTGCCATTAGAGTGGTATCATCTGCATATCTTAGGTTGTTGATATTTCTCCCGGCAATCTTAATTCCAACTTTTGATTCATCTAGCCCTGCCTTTCTCATGATGTGCTCTGCATATAAGTTAAATAGGCAGGGCGACAGTATACAGCCTTGCCGGACTCCTTTTCCAATTTTAAACCAATCAGTGGTTCCGTGTCCAGTTCTCACTGTTGCTTCTTGACCCACATATAGGTTTCTCAAGAGACAAATGAGATGGTCTGGTACTCCCATCTCTTTAAGAACTTGCCACAATTTGTTGTGATCCACACAATCAAAGGCTTTAGCATAGTCAATGAAGCAGAAGTAGATGTTTTTCTGGAACTCCCTAGCTTTCTCCATGATCCAGCGTATGTTGGCAATTTGATCTCTAGTTCCTCTGCCTCTTCGAAATCCTGCCTGTACTTCTGGTAGTTCTCGATCCACATACTGCTGGAGTCTAGCTTGTAGGATTTTAAGCATAACTTTACTAGCATGTGAAATGAGTGCAATGGTGCGATAGTTTGAACATTCTTTGGCATTGCCTTTCTTTGGAATTGGAATGTAAACTGACCTTTTCCAATCCTGTGGCCACTGTTGAGTTTTCCAAATTTGCTGGCAAATTGAGTGTAGCACTTTTACTGCATCGTCTTTTAAGATTTTGAATAGCTCAGCTGGAATACTGTCACCTCCACTAGCTTTGTTGTTGCTCAGATTTTCTAAGGCCCATTTCACTTCACATTCTAGGATGTCTGGTTCGAGGTCAGTGACCATCTCATTGTGGTTATCTGGGATGTTAAGCTCATTCTTGTATAGTTCTTCTGTGTAGTTTTGCCATCTCTTCTTAATCTCTTCTGCCTCTGTTAGGTCCCTGCCATTTTGGTCCTTTATCATGCCCATCTTTGCATGAAACGTTCCCTTCATATCTCCAATTTTCTTGAAGAGATCTCTGGTCCTCCCTATTCTGTTGTTTTTCTTCTATTTCTTTGCACTGTTCATTTAAGAAGGCATTCTTATCTCTTCTAGCTACTCTCTGGAATTCTGCATTCAATTGGGTGTATCTTTCTCTTTCTCCCTTGCCTTTCACTTCCCTTCTTTCCTCAGCTATTTGCAAAGCTCCTCAGACAGCCATTTTGCTTTCTTGCATTTCTTTTTCTTTGGGATGGTTTTAGTTGCTACCTCTTGTACAATGTTGCAAACTTCCATCCATAGTTCTTCAGGCACTCTGTCTATCAAATCTAATTCCTTAAATCTATTTGTCACCTCTACTGTATATTCATCAGGAATATGATTTAGTTCATACCTGAGTGGCCTAGTGCTCTAGTACTAGTACTAGCCCTCTGCTCTTCCCCAGTAGCATATTGGACACCTTCCGACCTGAGGGGCTCATCTTCCAGCGTTATATCTTTTTGCTTTTTAGTACTGTCCATGGGGTTGTTTCTATTTTTTCTCAATTATATTTTCCCTTTCTTCCCTTTCATAAATTAAACATGACAACAGCATGACAACAGAATAGAATGGGATACAGTGGGACGGAGTGGGAAAGGATGGAATGGAACTGGAGAGAAGAGAAGAGAAGAGAAGAGAAGAGAAGAGAAGAGAAGAGAAGAGAAGAGAAGAGAAAGGCAACACAACCAGGACAGGACTGGACAAGACAGGATAGGATAGGATAAGATAGGATAGGATAGGATAGGATAGGATAGGATAGGATAGGATAGGATAGGATAGGATAGGACAGGACA